CAAAATCTCCTAGCAGTAAGGACTGCTTTCTTTCTCCATAATTAAAATTCCATTTGTCTTTTCCCTCTTTTTCTGCCTTCATTGAGTGTTCATTATGAGGTGGGTGTTTTACGCATGGTCCAAGTAACATCATCTGAGACCCGAGAAGTCGCAGGTGATGCTGGCGATTTAATTTATCTATTAATTTCTACTTAAATGACTTAGGTAGTTAAATTATGCAATATAGTATGGTTAGATGTGCTTAGTTCAGATGAGGCAATTGTGAAAAATTCGTGCCCTCTGTGAGAGTCGAATCCACTCAGCAGGGAAGGCTTCTGCGCAGCCAAAGCAATACCATTGGGCTACGAGGCTCACCGTGCGCCGTGAATTTGATTTTTCACAATTGGGTCAGCTGACTATACTACTGGATGTTCGAGACTTACAACTAGGCGGTTTCGAGCACGGGATTGACATGTTTACAGATCCAGATATGTTAAACATGGTTCGAGTTACCTAGTCCCTGCGCAGGGTTACCGCTTGCTTACTTCGCTGGTAAGGGTTAGTGTGAGGTGCGGATGGTGTTGTGCTTCTGCTCATTTTATTCCCTTCGACTTCTGACTCTGTTTCGCAGATTTCACCAGGGGTCTATCGCAGAAAATAGTGAAAATTTCCCTTTTCTCAAATAATTCTATCATTTTCATGCTTATAATGTTGACTAGTCATGTTATAAGTCATCTACGCCGAGGAATAATGCAACAATAGTGGCGTTTTTTGAACACTATTCTGGATGTGGAGTGTCTGGGTAGGAATTATATTCAAAGTATCGACAGTCATCCGGAAGCTTTGCTGCCTCAGCTAAATCTCGGCTCTCATCTGGAGTTCTTCGGAGCTGTACTCTTCTCAACATTCAAATCCCAGTAATCAACCTTAACTGGCCAGCTACACTAAATGAAAGCATTTAGAGTGTGATTGCACAATTTGTCAATCCCTTTGCAGTTCCACTCTCCCACTCCCTAAAAGTCCTACGGTGAGGGTGATATGCAGCCCTGTAAGCAGCCCAGATCATTTCGGATTGTTTATCGACTACGTCAGTCGCGCAGTACCGTCCATTTTTTAAAATAAAAACCTAAGGACATATGAACGTTTTAGAGTAAGATAGCGTGCTTTTGATCGCTGCCTACCAACGAGTGATCCATCACCTCAGTTGGTAGACTGTGCTCACCGAGATCCT